ACGATTTATCAACACTTGTGAGTTKTTGTAGTTCTATACGACATGATGTTGTATATAATGATAATAATAACATTATTTATTATTATTATTATTGTTATCATTATTATTGTAGCGTGTTAAAATACCGTTTACAAGACATAATGTGAATGGAATATTATTTATTACGCCGTTGAATGTCGTGCGATTCGCAAATTTCGTATATTATATAAGAATTATTATTACCATCATTATAACAATATTATACACACATACGTATAATGTGTACATACGTGTTTTAAAATGATACATTGTATACTCCGTACCTATACTATATTATAATATAACGCTATTATTCCATATGAGAACGTCACGAATTATAACGAATTACGAGTAGGTAGGTAGTAGGTACCAATACTGTCAGAGAAAGGATGTTTTATTTTAGTATCTGAGTGCAGCGATTTTTGTGGCTTAATACACTTTTCTAGTAAAATAAAATCCCCAGCCATCAACTACGAGGGAGATTTTTTATAGAAAATTAGATTTTGTTTGTACTTTGGTGAATCAAAAATAATAGGAAACAACTAAAAAAATACAAACTCCAATAATTGTTAATAGTAGTTATAATATTCACGATTACAACAACGTCTCTCTTAATCCCATTAGCTTCTTCAAATTAAACGAATACCACGAGATTTTATCGATAATTTTTCGGCAAACCATTTGAATACCACGTGTGATTTCGTTACTATATTTTTTTTTTCATTGTGTACTCTTTATATTATTATGTTTTGTTTGACGAGGAGAACATACGCACTTACTTATTACAAACTGGTTCTGAAACAATTTTCCCACATTCATATAGGTTGTATAATATTATAATAATCATTATTTTATCTTCAATCGTTCATCTATTAAAATATAACAAATAGTGTATTTCATAAATGATAAAAATAACGACCTAAAGTCACTGAGATAGATAAAAATAATATACTGGACTCACAATGTTCCTAATAATTATACGAAATTACGAAATACGAGCCGTCTTAAATATGATAATATCTTTACCATCAGWGGTTAAAATATTGAATGATATAATCCGGGCTTGTGTATTTCTCATCATAAAATAACATTTAATATAAAACAATATTTAGTGTAAATTAACTACCGCAGAAGTATTTTATTATGATGAAAAGTTTGCGACATCACGTAACCAAAAAGCCAAAAATGTGCCTTTTATCATCTCAAACATGGCCACTTCATCAATATGACTACATGTAGCATAATAATTTTAAAAAAAATATTGATTAAAAAAATGAGTTATTGACGGAGATAAACTCGCCGAGATATTCTGAAGTGTATTTATTATTTACAGTCAGTCGATACGCGGGATTTCGAGCAAATACGCAAATCATTTCGGCTCACTACGTCCCAGCTGGATTGGAAAGTTACACTTGTCAATAAATAATTGTACTTCAAGAGGATCAGGGAATACAAATATTTATTCATTTTTTAAATCATTTTTCATTCCTAAAACCACGCGTGTGGGTGTAACCTAACGACCTATACCTACGTATTATAGGTTTGTTATTTTTTTYGACATAAATTTGGATGACACTTTCTAGAATGCTGTTATTTGTGGTCAAGACTATTGTATTGGTACGTGTTTTAATTTAAAAAAAAAACATACRTGGGTACCTTTATTAAATGATTGATTTGGTCGAATACGAATTGACGATAACTTCGTGATTGATTATATTATAATACCTATAATGTGCATCTATAAGTGTTTTTGGGTAATCAAAATTGTTTTTTGGATGAAGTTGTTATCATAAATTGATTCCAGATTAAGTACCATAATACGACTTTAATATTATTACTATACTCGTYCGAGCAACCCACTATAAATTCAAGATTTAGTGTTTATTAAATCATACTTAGGTATGATCAATTTCTAATCAAGAATTAATTTCCAGATAAATTTGCATACATTTTATCGTTGTCTAATATATTATGCGTTGCTAGACTCTTTAGTTGAATAGTTTATCTTTAGAGCTATTCGGAATCGTCTCATGACAAAAGGAAAAAACAACATATATGTATATATATGCACATACTTTTTTGCGTTGAAAATCCTGTTAAAATATTTGTTTAGTCACTCCAGACACTCCAGTATACAAAAAAAAAAAAAAAAATTTGGGAAAAAATTTGGTAAAAAATGGTGATAATTCCGCTAAAAAAAAAAAAAAATGGCTTTGAAAAATATTAATTTCTCTGATCAACAATCAAGGCTCTGAGACTATTATAATTCTGTCACATTAATTATATYATATAATACCTACATTAATTATAATAATATGCATATAATGTCATGTCAGCATGTGTGCAGAACGTCATCGACTGTATAACAGCAGTACCGGTGCACACAATAACAGTATAATATTAACAGCGCACGTGTGCTGTTAKAACAATAAGCATTAAAGAGTAAAAAACTTCTCCTATTGAAACAAATCCAAAGACTCGCGATAATTTTAGGTTTGTATTTACCTGTTAATTATGTCTCACTGGAAAAACAATGTATTAGCGCACGTGCACATTATTCCGGTATTATAATATTGCAGGTTCGAAATAAAGTTGATAATTATCATCAGAAAGTATTCAATGATCGACTGAAGACGATACAGTGTATATTTATAAGGATAGTATAGTTACCTACGTAGTTTTTCATTTAAGTATTTTCCTCTTCACAATATAACAGAACAATATTAGCTGGTTTAACGTTTTGAGCCATAATTATTATTGTTAATATAGTACATAATAATATGTCAGCGCACGATTTGTGCAACAGAAACCAAAACGCGATTTAAAAAAAAAAAAAAGTTTCAAATGATATAGTTAGGCCATTTGTGTTTTTTGTGTGGATCACAAACACGCACACGATCACATGATGTATGAAACGTCTCGCTGTAACCTATGCATAATACACATAATACGTTGCCCGTCTAATATCGCTACCTAAAACTCCCATAACCATATTTCCTCTCCTTATATATCATATTATTATATATTAAAATTTCATTAAATAAATATTATACTATTTTTAAATATTTAATTCACATAAAAAATAAAAATAAACCTTAGATTAAAATTATATTAATATCTAGTTGTATAATATGATTTTTATACTTACAAAAATTAAATATTTTTAAAACTATTTTTATTCTATCTGTTACATWAATATAGAAGTTAAATATTTTATATACCAATAAATAAACTTCGATATTCTATACATTTTCCAGTTAAAATATTTTGAATTCAGAACTCTACCTATCAGAGGTGAACTGGCCATTTTTGATCCGGGGTGCACAATTAATTAGGGGCCCGTATTTTTTTTWAAATTTAATTAAATAGAATAACATGTTATTTTAATTTTAAATATTAGTTATTTTATCTATGTTTGTATTAATTATGTATATACACAAGTGATAGATACGATGTAATATTATAAATATAATAACAACAGTATTGTCGATTTCTATTATAATTTATCTTTATATATTTAATACATAATATATTCCACATAAAAATAAGAGTTAAATTAAAAAGGGAACAACATTAGTAATCGGAGGACTAGATCATAAATACAAAGTGGGCCTGGGGTGCTATTTGGTGTATAGAACCGTGGGATAACCCACCATTGCTACCTATATACATATGCGCATATTATATTTTATACAAAATTAATCGTTGAAATTTTAAAATTTTATATTATTACAATATAAGTTATGATTTATGAAATAAACATCATAGCCGCATTTTAACTGTAGTGATTTCTCAATTACAAAAAAAATAAATATATTTCAGTGCCTACCTATTTATATTTAAGAACACTTAATCAAATAATATTGTACTATCATACATTATAATAGACAATTTCATCACCACCGGACACTGGTATATTTTATATTATATATGCAACAAAGTATGTTCATATTTTCAAATAACGTATTTAAAAATGTATATTTTTGAAAAAATTAAGATTGAATACATCGGTATGTATCTAGGTCAATAAATGTTCACATTTACCTACTTATATAGTTATACAGTACGTAATATTTTGTTTACTGGATTTGTTTTTATTTTTGAACAATCTGTTTATGTTTTACGCGCGGTAGTGTTTCAAGATAAATCAGTGTAAAATAATTAGAATCTACTTTAGAACGAGTGAATGGCTATTTATTGCGATATAAAAAATAAAACTAAAAACTTAATTCAGAATTGTATTTCATCGTCCAAATATTTTTTTAAGTATTATATAAGGCATAGAGATAAAAGTCAAGAAAAACAGTTAAAAAGGAAAAGTTTATTGGCAAAAAAATAAAAACAATTAAATGACTGAGAAATGTTTTAAGGACATAATTAACTTCGATTTATTATTGATATTGGATATAAAACTATGGTAAATTGTATAATATRCCTATTGCATTATTAATACTATAAATACGTAGCTGATAATATATAGTAAGCATGAGTCAAACTTAAATTTCCATTATAACTTTTTTCAAACTTTTTAAACTTCCAAACTTAATATTTAATTTAGTTTTACTAAATTATTAATCCATTTTAATTTGAAACTAAAGTATACCACAAAATATTCGATTTAAATCACCTATTATTTTCAAGGAATTTTGACTTGTTCAATTTTCTAGAGAAGTAAGTTGTTTGAGAACCAAATAAGTTCTTGAAACCATTCATATTCAGATCATGTCGTGTGGATCCATGCAATTTCTTTTATAGTTTTTATTTAATAAAATATAATATTATAATATAGTTGTCAYTGATTTTAACAGGTAAAGAACACATGTACTACGTGGAAAACGTATCGATCGRCCATCGTCCTGTTGACGCGTAGTCGGATCGTGGACGCTTGACCGGCCGCGGCGCCGGACACCATGCGACGGTGGACGTGACCACCGATCCACCGGTGACGGTGACCGCGGAGGCCGTCACCGTAGTGATCGCGGCACGTCTTCACGGTGTACACCAGCACTAACGGCCACGGTGGTGTTATTGGCGGCGTCGTGGTGGTGATCGGTAACGACACAGCGGCCGGGCCCACGTCACCGCTGCTGCAGACGGCCACGCCGCCGACGCCGCCGGTCCTCGTCGGCCAACCAAACGTCACCGGCGGTGGCGGCGGCGGCGGTGGTGGTGTCGTAGTGGTCGGTGGTGGTGGCGAGGGCCCGTTCGACGGCGGCTACTGGTGGTGGGCYTTGCTGGCCGTGTTCCTGGTGCTGGCCACGGCCGCTGGCAACATACTCGTGTGTCTGGCCATCACGTGGGAGCGCCGGTTGCAGAACGTCACCAATTACTTCCTCATGTCACTGGCCGTCACTGATCTCATGGTCGCCATCCTCGTCATGCCCGTCGGTATTCTCACACTCGTCAAAGGTATGTGGTGTACACGGACGTAATTCGTTGTATTTTAGTGTATAATATGTTACATGTATATTGTATATATAGTTACAATATTACAACTTGTAGGCGAGGAAAATCAAAGTTTAGAAATCATATTAAGTATAAATATATTATTTAGAGTTATTCATTTAACGCAAAACAACGTATCGTTTAAGAAAACTAACGTTTTTGAAAATATTTAACATTTTTAGAAAAAAAAAATATTGTTTAATTTTTTAATTATTATTTTTTAAGTTGTTTACACTTTGAATGGCAGCATTATTTTATTTTTCTATTGCATAGCAAAATATTGTTTAGAGTATTTAGATGTATAAAAAATCAATTTGTCGAAAAGTGTTTATTAGTATTAACTGATTAGTTATAAGTGTTTAAAGTTTTGATGTGCTGATAGTAGTGGACTATTATTTTCAAGGAAATTTTAAATTCAAATAGCATTATTTTTTTAATACATTTTGATTGGTATAATACTATAATAATTATTTTGTACCACTTCTAGTTTAAATTTTCAAAACTTTATATGGATTACTCGATTGAGAGTAAAATATTATTATATTTATAATCATTATATTATAAATCGTCTTCACGTAACAGTATTCATGAGTAAGTTATCCATTATAATATATAATGCATTTTATTATCGAACTTAAATTTCATGTTATTGATTATTATACAGGTAAATTATTTAAAATATGTTAAAAACTTAATAAAAAATTGTATTAATTTACAATATCTTTCAGTTTAAATGAAATAATAACTGACACAATGCTAATAAAATACTAATGATATTAACGATGTTATATACTCAGCTACATAATATTATATTTAATTTATAATTATAAGGTACAATTTTAGGATAATATAAAAATACTTGATTAAACTACTTGTATTCGTAAAAATAAAATTAGGATTGTATAGTAAAATAAAATATTTTTACCATTATTGTTGATAAATTAGGCAGTGGGAGCAAGAATTTTACAAACGGTTTATCCCTATGTGGTGATACCACAAGGAAATTAGGTATACATAACATAATATAAAACATGATCCATTTACCACCTGGAACAGAAAAAAACATTTCATTGTTGGTGATCGACTGGTAGATCTTTCTCTCTTGGTTTACAAAAAGAGTTTGAACTAACTGAAAAGTTAACGGTTTAAAACGGTCTTCTAAAGAGCCGCTCTACACCTCTCTATCTCCCAGTATATTTAAATGATTCTCAGTCATTAAAATATATAATGCAAAATATTTATAAGCAGATAGGTAGGTATATTATTTGTCTTCTAGTGCAGTAAGACAATTAATGTTTTATAACTATTGTTATAAATATGAAATTATTTAAATATTTCAAACTTGAAACTCTCAAAAATTAAACCTTATGAAATTTTAGAACCCTATCTAACCCTATCTTTGTATGTTACAATCGAATATAAATTCCGTAAAATGCATAACTATTATTAATTTTTTCTTATTTTAATTTAATAAGCTGTCTTACAATGATCATCAAAGCTAAGCCAACGGACCTATGTGTATCATGTGTATCATCTTAACCGCATGATTAATTTGGTGTACATTTTGATTATTAATCTTAGTCTTGATAAAAACAATTATAATCAATACCTACTATTTTATTATATTATTGCTACGATTATTTTTACGAATGCATGAGTAACTAATAATGCATCACTACCACCATAATAATATTGTTATGCATTTAAAATAGAATTATAGGTATTAAACCGTATTATGTATAATATATATAATTAGGTAGAATACATGTTAAACCTACGAGTGTTTTGTTTCGAGGATTTGGTTCACACCCCAAGTACCTTCACAAAAGCCCCCAAATTACACCAATAGACTACCACCACAAATGTAGTGTTGTTCATGTTACGCGTCATCATCGCCACTAAGCACCTAGCTCTATGCAGTTAAAATATCTATACGGTTAATCATAGCCTATGCTTCATAGGGGTTGCAATTTGTTGTAACACTAAAAAATAATTTTTTTTAATTATCCCACAATTTTAAATAAACTCACGATTTTTTTATTCTTTTTTGTTTAAACTTTATTGATACAATTAGTTTCAACAATTACAATTACAATTACAATTACGAATTACGAATTATAAAATACAAATACAGTAAATACAGTTACAAATGCAATAGAAATAGTACAATATAAAATTGATTAAAAAACCTGAATGGTTAAAGAAAGATAATATATTCAATATAATGTTTTTTTGTTGGTTTGAATGTATACTTATAGAATCGAAAGGGATGTTGGAGGTAATAAAAATAGATAATAGGTGGTCACGATGTGTTGATAATCTGGGACAGATGAAGAGTAGATGGTTAATATCACAGACAAAACTTACGATTTAAATTTTTATTTTAAATTTTATGGTATTGATTCATCGATTTCATTAAAATAGAATTTACAAGAATTTTTAATTTGGGTAAGCAAAGAAAAATCAATTCTATAGTTACGTTACTCGCAACGAGACTATTGTATTATAAAACTTAACGTAAGAAAATACAATCTAGTCTTTAGTCTTTACCCGTTACGACAACAATTTAAAAAGTTAGAGTTTTATTATTTACCGGCCATTCGAAAAAAAATATGGCAAAAAAGATTATCAAATCATAAATAAAAGACCTGCGGAATAATCATTAACGTACAAAATGCTTTCCGTTGTCTGTAAATTTCACAGAGGTCCAATAATCGAAAATATATTTTTAAGTTGACTGAACAAAATGATAATGCTTGTAACCAACTGTATGTAATTAAGTTTTCTTCGAACATTTATACTATGTCTTCGCGGATCTTCTGTAGATCATGTATCGACAGACGCCTCAGACACGCAGTTTATTACGTGCTTTCCTATGCGAGCAAGGAAGCCATTAACGAGTTCAAAAAGTTTATGTAATAACTTTTTAATGCAACAAGTTTGTTTATTTTTCTAGTCATCTCATGTAACGTTATAAGGTTATTTATGTTTTCTTTTCTTTTTTTTGAGCTTTATATTCAAAACGATGTTAATTTTCACTTGATTAATATCAAACTGAATATTATATTTCCCTAATGTAAATACAGATAACAAATGAATACGCTTTTTGTTCCATATTGAAATTTATTATAATGTTTTAAGGTCAAGTTTTAAATTTTAACAAAATTTACTTAAAATTAGTTAATAATAAAAAATAGAATGAAATTTAAACTCAATTGGCTTTGTTATTTTGATTATAAAATATTGAAATTCTTCACACTTAGCAAATGCTCTTGTACAGCTACAAACTTATCTAGAAAAAAACAAGCTAATATTGTTGTTATTATAATTGTTATTAAATTTTATAATTAGAGTGATTTATTATTTGTGGTTTAATATCGATCATTTAGAAATGTATAAAATTTACTATTCACTTGAGAATAATGGATCCATTACGACGAGATTTGGTTAAAACAGTTGGTATAATAGGTTTTTGTTTTATTTTTTGTATAGGTTACTCAGCTCTCTTATTTTTAATTTATATTATTTTTATTGTATACCTTTCAGGTTGAAATTAAACTGTCCACATAATGAACTGCATAAAGTACTATTTAATTTCGGTTTTGTTCTTGTTTCCGGATCGGTAGGACAGGTGGGGGAAGGTGTATGAACAATAAGTACAAATACAAAACTAAAGAAGCCTAGTCAAGATATAATAATATTATATTTATAATCTGAACTCGAACCGTTCTTGAATAATACATTTTAGATGTAAAAATAATAGATATATTTCTGTATAATGACATTTTAAAGAATTGAAGTTTTATTATACATATTATTAGTTTTAACCAAATCGCAATTATTGTGATAAAATTATTTTTTTATTTTATGAATTAAATTTCAAAAGCAAATTTTTGTAAGATAGATGCTAGTCTTCCACTAAAAAAATCTCATAAAAAATGTGCACATGCAAAACCTCTACGGCAAATCCCAACATAAATAAGAACATGGATTGAATTTATGTAATACAATATTTGAAATATAACCACCGCACCTATGATAACTGAGTTAATTAGTAAATAAATTGAAGTGTCACTAATAAGTGGTTTCTTTGATTAATATTTTTTTCCTTCCACGTTATGTATGTCAATTAGCAAATATTCTTAAAATGCATTTTTCGTATAGACTGTTTATTTTAATGCATAAATAAAAAATAAAGATAGTAGCATAAATGACTTACTTACAATATTCTCAGATTTTCAACTATTTTAATTAAAATTACGTCGTTATAGTCTATTATGCAAACAATTATCGAAGAACTCAAAAATATTAAACTATAACACGATATATAGGTATTAGGTTTAAAATCAGTAATTTATTGTAAAACAATTTAGTCACGTTTTTGTGTTCTATAATGCAAGAAAATAGAATACAATATCTACAAAAATAACTCAACAAATGTAAATACATGTTAACAGATTAAAAAAAAAAAATTGATAATCTGAATATTCCTTGTTATTAAATAATTATAGAAAATTTCAATGTTATATTTGCGTTTTTATATGAATAAAATGTTAAAAAATACATTATATTTTATAGCACACATTTTGTTTTTAAATTTTCTTCAAAGCATTTGAAATTTAGTGTTTAAAAAAATATAAGTATATTTATAATACAAAAAAATAAGCTTGACGTGATTTGAGAAAATTAATTTAACATTTATTGAAACTACTAATACACCAAAACGATGTAATAAGTAGTGCACTTTATTATGATGATAATTGATATTTGATAATAATAACAAATAGGTCGTGAATAGGTATACACGTTTAAATATTTTATAATGTGTGTGTGTGAGCGCGTGTGCGTGTTTAACAGTTTTATCGGTATTTAATGTCAATATTAACATTTAAATGCACATCGAATATTGTATTGTGACTGAATAAATTAAAGTGTCCATGAGGACACGACCAATGTAGTTATGT